CACGGCCGAGCGTTCCACGCCGCCCGCGAACACCAGCGCTCCGCAGGCCCCGTTGATGAAGCGCCCGGCCAGGTGCAGCTCCGGGCACTCGGGCATGGTCGCGACAGCACGGCACAGCCCGAGCCCGCCGCCGCCCGCGGCACGGCCCGCCCCCATTGGCTGCGGGGGGCGCGGTGAGCGCTCCCATTGGCTCTGGCGCGGGCGGTGCGCGCTCCCATTGGCTGCGGCGCGGGCGGTGAGCGCTCCCATTGGCCGCGCGCTGATAGCGGAGGTTGGTGCCCTGCCGGGGCGGCCCCGCCGCGGGGAGAGGTTGCACAACGCGCGGACACAGCGGGACACGGCTCAGCTTTGTCACCGAGACTTTATTGGAGCTGCCCCGAGGACCCCCGGAGGGAAGGGAAACGTCTTCCGTCCCAGCCAGGAGCACCAATCTGGACCCCCAACTCAGTGTCGCAGCCTCCCGCCGTGGCCGGGCTCCTTTCCTAGCTCCTCAGAGAAGGGTGTTCATCAGGGCCTGGGCCTGCTTCAGCTCTGCAGAGAGATGTGGAGATGAGGGGGAGCTGCTGGTATTGCAGCATCCCTTCCAGCATCCCCTTCTCAGCATGCCTCCCACAGCAATTCCCCCTGCAGAATCCCCCACAGAGGTCCCTGATGCCAGCCCTCCTGGTGCCTCACCTGCCAGAAGCACCCAGAACTTGTTGGCCGAGAGTGTCACAGGGACAGCCGTCATCTTCTCACACTCTCTGTCCTGTACGTTGAAGGTGAGGTGCACCACGGGCTCATTGACCTCCTGCAGCTCGCTGGAGCTGAGGGTGTAATCCACCCGCCAGCGCACCGAGCCCAGCTGGCTCACTAGGGAGGGCGGTGGGATGGTGTCAGCACCCTGGCTCACTCCAGCAGGGTGACCCCACAGCCCTGGTGAGTCCCAGCACCCCACTCACATCGCAGGCTGCAGGCCCTGAGCCTGTCCTGGAGGGGGCTCTGCTTCTCCTCATAGGAACGGCACAACCCGCTGGCATGCTCTGCTCGGGAGGGGACACAAGAGAGGAACCCCTCTGCTCACACCAGACCTGCAGCTGCCAAACCCCACCAAAGCACCCCAGGGACCGACGGCACAGAAGGGAGGCGATGGAGGACAGCACAGCAGCCAGCCTTTCAGCCGGGGCCGGGGTGGGAACTGTCAGCAACATCCCACCAAGTCTGGCTCACGGTGCCACCCCGAGTTTCCCCTACCTTTGGGCAGTCCCAGCTGCTGCAGCTCGCTTGACAGAGACTCACTGTCTACATTGTGCTTGGCTGCACTGGAGAGGATGAAGCTGAGCACAGCAATGGTCGCCTTCACATCCCCTGACTCTGCAGATGGGAGAGTCACCTTGGGAAGGCATCCCCACACATTGCTGCCCATCTCTGGAGCATGGCTCCATCGGGGGATCCTGGTAAGGACAGCAGTGCTCACCTAACTTTGCATCTGAGGTCAGCTTCAGGATCTTGTCATACTGTGGGAGAGCAGAGCATCACAGTAAGCACCAGCTAACACACTCACTACCAGTGTTAACACTAACAATTCTTACCTAAACATTAATACTAATAACACTTACTATGCATATTAGTACTACTAGTAGAGGCCGGTAGCGTTCTTAACGCTGAGGCTCGCACGAAGAACGCGAGATTAATTAATGCTGCTGGTTATGCCATTGTAGTGTTGAAACACCGCCTCCACTGCGGTAGCCCCACACTTACCTCGATGGCCTCCCCCAGCAGGTCCCGCAGCACCTGGGCGCAGATCAGCTTCAGCTTCACCGAGGACTGCGGGGGAGAAGGAGGGTGAGCAGCGGGCCCGCAGCAGCGGGGAGCGGCAGGGGCGGCGGGGCGCGGGCACTTAACTATTTTGGCCAGGGTGCTGATCTCGGCCAGCACCCAGTCGGGGCAGTCCAAGTCCCCGCAGAAGCGGAACCGCTGCGGGGGAAGAGGCGGTCAGAGCCCGCAGCGGGCTCCGCACGCCCTCCCCGCTCCCCGCCGCCGACCCCCTGCCCACCATGTCACCGCCGCTCCCCGCTCCGCGCTGCTACGGCAGAGGCCGCCTTTGCGACCCGGAACCACTCCCGGGCCACGGCCCGCTACGCCCCTCCCCGACGGGGCGCTCCGGCAGGGCTCCGCGGGGCCTTTCAGCCGGGGCCGGGCAGGAGCGAGGGCCGGAGAGGGGACCGGGCTCTCGGAGCGGCACCCCGGGCGCCCCGGGCCCCTCGAGCAGCGCGGGCTCCCACGGGCCGCAGCCCCACAGCGCCCCGCCCGCCAATCCCCGCCCTGGCCAATCACAGCCGCCCTTCCGGCCCGGGCGCGGTCCCGCCCAGCGCTCCGCGCAGGCGCAGTCCCGCCCAGCCCTGCCCCTCAGGCCGGCCGTGAGGGGAGCGGGGCCGCCGCCTGAGCCCCGCACTCGCGTTCCGAGCCCGCTGACACGGGGCTGGAGCGGGAATGTGGCGTTCGGAACTGGGGCTGAAGCCTCACAGAGCTCGACCTGAAATAAAGATCCTGTTCTGCTGCAAGAGCAGCTGCACCTAGCCTCAGGAAAAAGAGGCAGAGCAATACAGTTTTGTCAGAGTGGAGCTGGAAGCATTGCAGAGCTCGGATCTCATTGAGGTGTTTATAAAGATTGTGGGGACATGATACTGCTCTGGGGCTGAAATTCTGCTTGTGGAGCTGAAATAAAAGCCCTCACCCTGCCTGAAATAGAGACACCAGACCTGGAGGTGAAGTAAAAATTGTGGCTAGGAAGAGGCAAAATAGAGCTCCTGGCACTGAGGCTGGAATAGGGAGCACACAGACAGAGTCAAAGCAGCACAGAAATAAATATCTGAAATAAAGGCTCTGGGGCTCTCAGCATGCACAGCAGCGGCTGCAGTCAGTGCTGTAGGGCTGGAGCTGAGATGGAGCCTGTGGGGCAGGGGCAGGGCTGGAACAAACACTGCAGAGCAGGATCTGAAATAAAATCCAGCCTGCTGGAAGGGGAAGCACGCTGGAGCTGGGAAAGTGACTGTGGGGCTGGCATGCACATCCTTGCTTTTTTAACTCCCCACACTAGGGTTGCTGGCCCAGAGCTGGAGAGGACCAAGCCCAGCTGGCAGGCAGCAGCCAGAGCAGCAGCACAAGGCTGGGGTGGTACCGGGAGCCCAGCAGGGAGGTTGGTTCAGCACCACGCCCACAGCAGACACACATCCTTCACAGCTGGGTGTCACGGTCTACAAACAGTTTATTTAAGATACAAAATGATTCCTTTACACACCCGAGTCTGCATTCTGCACAGGGAGCACCTGGCAGGTGCTGCCACAGGATCAGGGAAAGCTTCTCAGCATCTCCTTCCCACCTACAGCCCCTCTCCAAGCTCCCCCCAGCTGCTGCTGCTTCTCTCCTCAGGCAGAAGTGTTGTGCCATTCAAAGTGACCATCCTCAGGGTCCTGCAGGGGAGAGGGAAGAAGTCACTTGAAACAGCTCCAGTGAAGGCAGGAATGAGGGTCCCTTCCCTCCAGCCCCCCACAGGTTTCTCCAGCCCCAGAGATCAGCACCAGCTAACAGAAGAAGCTGGGAGCTGCTGGGAGAGCAGCTCCAGGCCCAGGAGATAATCCAAGGGATGCAAAGGCCATCCACCTCTGTCCAGAAGCCCTGGTTATCCATTTCCAACGTCTGGATCCCCACTTCAGGGTCTCTTCTGTCCCAAAGGGCTCTTCCACCCTGCCAGCCCAGCCTCTTGGTGCCCAGGCACTGGGGAGGAGAGCACAGGGACTGCAGCCCAGCCGGCCCCGCAGAGTCCCTCAGCCCAGCCCTCAGCAGGGCCCAGGGCTGCTGGCCCAGCCCAGCAGGCAGAGCTGGCCCTCACCACGAGCACGACGGGCGCAGCGATGATGCAGAGGCCACCGACGACCACCAAGGCCACTCCGTAGGCTGGGAAGCCCGGCTGGGGCGTGGGAGGGTCCAGGGTGTCCTCTGGAGCAGAGCCCAGCATTTAGAGCCTGGAGCAGCCAGCGCTGCCCCACGGGCTGCCAGCCACCCTCTGCTCCAGGGCAAACACGGGGCATTTAATAACTCCTGCTCCACTCCCCCATGCCTTGGCCTCCCATCCTACACCAGCCTGCAGCAGCAGGTCTCCAACCCCAAGGCCCCAGGCTATGCAGAGGGAAAGGGCACAACTGTTACTGAGATTTTACTGCCTGCTCACCTCACCAGCCAAGGCACCTGAGCCTCTCTTCACACAGGGGATCAGGATGGGGTCAGCTGTGGATCCACTCTGCTCACAGCACGGCCATGGGGCCCGTGGAGCTCCCAAACCCACGTCCCAGAGGGGAGCTTACCTCCCACCGAGAGAGAGTGTGGATCCACATGGATGTCAGAGCCAGCCAAAGCCTGGTCTGGCCCCACCGAGCGCACGAGTGCCTTCAGAACCTCCACGCTGGCTGGGGCAGGGTGATGGAAGATCATGTTCCCACGGCAGATCAAGGAGCCAGGCCTGCAGACAGGGTTGGGAAGAGCTCCAGCAGCTGCCAGTCCCACCAGGACCCCACAGTGGGATGGGTGGGCACCCCCAGCCTCTTCCCAGAGGGTTTTGCTCAGCAGGAAGAGCTCTCTGCACTCAGGGAGCCGTGGGATGGAAGGGACATCCCTGGAGGTGCAGCAAGTCAGCACTGCTGCAATGGCTTAATGCTTGAGCTCAGCTTCCTCTGCTGATCCTTCTGTAGCCAAAAACATGCACCTGTGAGCCACGACCTGCTGGCTGCTGCCTGAAGGGAGAGCTCCCTGCCCCTGCACACCCCTGCCCAGAAGAACCCCTGCTCCCACTCACAGGAATTCTTTTATGATGGCTGTCAGGAAGGATGGGTAATCCCTCAGGGCTCTTGCCACCTGGAAGAAAGGGTGTGCTCAGCTCCCTGCCAGCTTTTGGGGCTGTTTGGTCACCCCAAAGCAGCCCCTCTTCCTCCCATGGCTCTTCTCCTCACCCTGCTGGGAGGACCTCAATCCCCTCTTCCCACCAGCCCCATTCCTACTGCATCGCCGAGGTCCCTGGAGAGATCGTGGTGCTCTGCAGAGAGCGGGTCCTGGAGCTTCTGGCTGAAGCGTCTGTTGGTGACAACAAAGGAGAGAGGGAACACGTGCAGAGCCAGCCTGGACCCTGAAGGAACAGCAAACAAGCGCTGGCTGTGCAGATTTGGCAGCGGCCCTGCCCACGGCACACACGGGGACCGTCCTTACCCTCCACCGAGAGGGAGGTCGGGTCCATGGAGAGGGCAGAGAGCGCAGCCAGGGCTTCCAGAACCTCCGTAACGTCAGCGTGGACAACTGTGTCCAGGTAGAGGTCTCCAGTGATCTCCGTGTTCCCACCCAGGTTCCTGAGGGGGGAGAAGAGCTCTGGGCAAGGCAGGAGGGTTGGCACCCAGCTCCAGCACCTTTACTGGTGGTTTTCTTCTGAGAGCCCGCAGAAGGGGCTCAGTTACAGCTGGCTCCAGCTGCACATCCCCTCCCAGCTTTTCCCATCCTCTCCATCCTTGCAGCACAGCTGAGTAGCTGCAGAGAGCACAGGAGAGAGTGAAGGCAATGAAATTAAGAGGCTGGCAGAGGAGTGTCCAGGTACCAGCTGTCAGTTTCTCAGGGTCTGGATTGAAGGCCCTTGAGACAGTAGTTAATGTTCAGACTCAAGTGTTCATCATTTCTTATCAGTAAATCACTATATCTTATCTCACTACTGTGAGTTCAGCAGCTTTTCATTAGAAGGCACAAAATGGCTCACAACCTCTTGTTTCAAGGCCTTTTAAGAGCAAACTATCCAATTAAGAAACTGACACCTAGATTCTCTTCCCTTTTAACCCAATAACTGATCCCACAGAGCCTGCAATGTGGACTTTTCTGCCCAATTACAAAATGCCACCTAAACCCATGGAGAAGGAAGAAGCAGCATGAAGAAGAAACCCAGGACAGCACCCTGTGCCCTCCATCTTGCTTCCATCCACAACATACTAAAAATCCCAAAACCTACATTCCGCACCAAGAGATACACCTACACTACCCTCTATAACCTGTTTCACACTAATGTGGATTCTAGTCTAGCTTGAAGTCCAGGAAACTTTCTCCAGGAATGAGGGTCAGGGGACCCCAGAGGAGACTGAGAAATATTCCCGGTGTCCTGGGTTTCACAGAGGAGCAGCTGCACGCCATACCTGAGCTGGGAGATGGTGAAGTTCCTCACGTCGTAGAGGGCACTGACAGATGCAGTCACCTGGGTAGGGAGAAGACAGCAGTTCACACCTTCCCCTGTTAGCCCAGGCTGTTCCAGCCCCCAGGCAGCCTGTGCCCATTCTCCCAGCATCACCCTCCAGCAGAGCCCCCAAGGCCTGGCATACCTCTCTGACCAGCCTCTCCAGAGGATCCATCCCGCCCATCCCAAGCTGGGGGCCAGTGAGGGAGATGGACAGCTTCTCCGGGTCCAGGTTCTCCAGGCTGAAGCCTAAGGGAGTTTGGGACAGTTCTGCTCATGCCTGCTCCTCCTGCTTCCTTGGGAGACAGTGTTCAGCCCAGAGCTCATCCACAGCCACACCCCAAAAGCAGAAAGCAGCAGGGCAGCCCAGTGAGGAGCAATCCCTTAGAATGTGGGAAGGGGTCGGGATGCACCATTTCCCAGCACAGGAGAGCTGGGGCAAAGAGGGGAGGCCGGGGAGCCGAGCAGAAGCACAGCCCACACAGGTCCAGCTGCTACAGATGTGCCCTCCAGCACCCTCCACATCCTTACAGTGGCTTTACACAGGCCAGGAGAAGGGATGTTAAGTGCAGGAAAAGCCTGGCACCCAAGCAGCACGGGCTTTGGCTTTGAGAGAGGCACCAGGAGGGCACCTGGCAGCAGCACCCTGCTGTGGGAAGATCTTGAGGACTCACCGCCAGACTGGACAGACTGGGGCTCCAGCTGCCAGCTGAAGATGCTCCTTCCCTTGCTTGCCTCTGTGACCACTGTCCGGATGAGGTGGGAGTTGGTGGGAGCAGGAGCATCCCCCCGGAACAGAACCTCCCCTCGCACCACCACTGAGCCATTCCTGGGAGGGACAGGACACACTGAGCAGCACACCTACTGCTTTTGGATTTTTTCCAGGTGCATTTAGCCAGGAATTCAGACAGGGATCCCTCGGGATGACGACACCAGGGAGAGAGCCTAGCCCCTCACAAGGACCTGTCTGGAGCATTTTCCTGGGCAAAGCCTTCCCTCCAAGCAAACCTGCTGCAGCTTGATAAAAACCAGACCACTGCTCCTTCCAGCAGGATCCATCTTTATTACACACACTCCAGTATTTATGTTTCTAGTATGGGAAAGGTTGAAGAAACTCTCAGCAACATGTAAGAGGAAACCCAGAACAGCCTACACCACCAAACATTCATTAAAGCAGACAACATTTCTGCCCTTATCAGCCATTCACCCAAACATCCACCTCCCGGCCTTCAGGGAGGCAAAGGAAAAACATTCCCACGTGGTGTTTATGGCTGCAGCCATCCTCTGGTATGCACCCTTCCCAAGAGAACAGAGAGTCTCTACCAAAGTCCAGTGTCACAAGTCACTGCTGTTCCACACAGGACTCTCGTTAAGGCCAGGCTGGCTCCCACAGGCCTCTGCTCCCACCAAACCCAGCCCTGCTCAGCAGCTGCACACTCACATGAACTCAAGGACATTTGCCTGCAGGAAGCTCTCGTAGCTGGACAGCATCTGGTTGAGCTGGAAGGAAGAAGCACCCGGTGATTAACTGAGGAGGTAATCGAGGTTTTCCAAGCTCCCCCATGTGAAGGGGAAATGCACGAGCAGGTGGGCAATAAATAGAGGGAAGTCAGCTCAGCCTGCCCAGGGGAGGGCACGCTGGCACCCAGGGAGTGCCAGCCTCTGGGAATGCCTGGGGATGAGCTGGGAGAGCCAGAGCAGCCACCCCCATTCCTGGGAGGGAATACCCCAGCAATAACACCGTGTGCCAGGGCCCTGCTGGAGCCAGAGGCAAGGGGAGCCCAGTGCCACCTCATTCCAAGCTCCAGTGGAGCAGTGCCAGGGCTTTGCCCACCTCCACCACGCCCAGGTGGGCAACCAGCCAGCCAAGGGCTGATGCAGCACTCAGGCTCCTCCCCAGCAGGGCTGGCACCACCCCACACCCCAAAGGGCCAGAAGTGTCCCAGCCACCTCCAGCACCCACCATCAGTCTCACATCTCCCTCCAGCTGCCGGTAGCTCTCCGAATCCCTGCTGCCCAGAGCCGGGGAGAAAGCCATGCCCAGCAGCCGGAATTGCAGGGGCAGCACGTGCACAGGCTGAGCGGGCAAGGGCAGGCTGGAGGGGTGGCACGCAGGGGATTCCATCCCTGTGGAGCCAGCTCTGCCCTTTGGCATCTGCTCAGTGGGGCTGGAGGCCGCTCTGGTGGCTGCAGGGAGCTGCTCCATGGCTGTGGAGGAGTGCTGGGAAGTGCTGGAGCCACGGGACACAGCCAGGGCACGGAGGGTCACTGCAGTGGGCACAGCCAGGCTCTGGGAGCTGAGCAGGGAGCTGGCTGCATGCCCAGCTCCAGGAGAAGTCAGCAGGCAGGATGGAGATGTCACACTGCTGCTGGTGGCAGCGTGGCGCCTAGGCTCAGAGCCATGCTGCAGAGCTGGCTTTGGGGAGCAGGGGGGAGGCACAGAGCCTGGGCTGGCAGGGCTGGGCCCTGGAGGTCCTGCTGGAGTGGGAACGGGTCCCACTGATGCTGTCCTGGGCTGGCTGTGCCTGGATCCTTCCATCACAAACGCCTGCCCAAGCTCTGGGATGATACCAGGGGCTGTGGAGCTCAGCCCAGTCACGGTGGGACCGGCAGGGCTGGGAGCCCTGGGCTGCACTGGGGAGGCTCCAGTGGACATGGGCTGTGTAGGGGGAGAAGGGCACTCACTCTGTTTCCCCAGGGTGACAGCAGGAGCCCCAGATGCCACCGTGGGAAGGGAAGAAGGCAGCAGGTGCTGATTGTGGGCACCAGGAGCTGTTGCAGTGGCAGGAAGTGATGCCAGGATGGCATCCAGGAGTCCAGACCCATTTCCTGGAGCCTGGGCCAACACAGCATCCACCAAGGGAGCAGCTGCCCCAGGCAGGGCAGTGCCAGCAGTGCCCCAGAGCCCCTCTGGTGTCAGGGCAGGGGGCACCCCCGCCGTGCCAGGGCTCAGCTCGGCCCAGCTGGCTGTCCCTTGTGCTGGCACAGCAGAGGCCACCACCTGCTCTGCTGTGCTGGGGCTCCAGGAGCCAGCAGCCACCAGTGCCCATGCAGGGACATCAGCTGGGACCTGAGACCCCACAGCTGCCCCTCGCAGTGGCACCGGCTGGTCGGGTGCCACCTGTGTCACTGCAGACCCTGCAGAGGGGCCAGAAGCAGCTGTGGGGAGGGCAGGAGGGCGCAGCCGTACCTGGGAGGTGGCAGGGACCCCAGCAGCCAGCTCACTCCCTGCTCTGGAGGTGGCCTCAGACCCCCTCTGTGGGCTCTGGGGCTCTGCTGTGCCCGCTGGCTGCCCCAGGCCACCGGCTGCACTCACTGCTGCCATCCGTGTGGCACCACGGGAGCCTGCTGCTGCTCTGTGGGGACCTCCCCGAGCAAGGTGACGCCAGGAGCCGGGGCTGGGGACACCCTGGGGCTGGAAGGGCCGAGCTGAGGCAGCAGGCACCCTTTTGCCAGGCCACTGTGCGGGGGACAGCGTGACAGCCATTGCCGTGCCCGGCCCGAGCCCTTCCCTGTCCCCAGCTCCAGGCTGCCGCTGCAGGGAGGGCCGAGATGTCCCTGTGGCCGCGCTCCGTGTCCCCAGGCTCCGTCCCCCAGCACCCGCCCCGGGGCTCACAGCTGGGACAGCAGGCAGAGCGCCCAGGCCGCAGGGGACAGCGGTGGCACACACACACGCGGCCAGCAGCAGGGAGGCGCTGCGGCACAGCCGGCCGGCACGGACAGCCCGGCGGGCAGCAGCAGCCGGGGCTGAGCCCGCAGCCCCTTCCCTCTCAGCGCCGAGCATCGCTCCTGCCTCCAGGGCAGCGGCGGCGCCCGGGGCTCGGTGGTCCGACCGCTCGGCTCCTCTTGGGAGAGACCACGGGGAGAGCTCAGCTGTGGAGAGGGACAGCAGCAGAGTTAGGGGGGGGGGGGTCCCTGCAGCTCCCACACCCCAGTGCCTGGCCCATTCCCAAGCTTCCCATCCCCTGAGCTCCTTACTAAATCCCTCCTTTCTCCCCAGCAGCCTCCCGGCTCAGGAAAGCCTGTGCCAAACCTCAGCACCTCCAGGGAAGCTCCCGGGACAGCGCAGGCTTGTAACCAGCCCTGGGCTCAGACATTCCCTCACTCCCTGCCCCAAACACCCACCTTGTCCCCAGACACCTCCCCAGGGAGGAGCAGGCCCACCAGCACCCCTCACCCGGCAGCACCCCAGCAGAAGAGAGCACCAAGGGCCAGCCAAGCCCTGCCTTTTATCTGGTTTCCCAGGGGCGGATGTGGCTCTGTTCCAGCTGCTCCCAATTAACACACCAACTCATCTGCCCTCCCCCAGGTGAAACTGGAGGGGTCTCAGCTTTCCTCTGCTCCTCATGGAGCCCTTGGCAGCAGGAGGGGATGGGCCTATCCCTCCAGGCAGGATGATCCCCAAACTCTGCTGATGCTCCCCAAAGCTCCCTGTTTGTGAGGCTGTGGCAGTGTTCACCTGCTGGGCTCCACCAATTGGGGCTGACAAACGTGGATTACAGCACTTGGCCTTTGGGGTCAGGCAGATTCTGTGTCTGATGGAGGCTCACAAGGGGGAGGGTCTCAGGGGTCCCCCCTGGGTCAGCCCAGGCTGCATCCCTGAGCACCCAGACCCTCCTGCCCAGTTTCTGGTGCTCAGACATGCACCAGCATCCTCCTCCCAGGCTGTCACCCATGGGGTTTGTGAAGGCTGAGATGTGCCCCTGTGAGGGCATCCTGGACGCTGGATCCAGCCTGCAGTGATGGGACAGAGAGCCTGGGCACAGCACTTGTGGCTTGCTGCAGGGAGAAGAGGGCAGTGCATCGGGTGGGGGATCTGGGGACCCTCCAACCCCAGGAAGGTCCCGTTGTGCCCATGCTGGGAAGCAGGGACAGCAGCAGGGCATGTCTGGAAACAAGTCAAACTCACTTAAACCAGGTGAGGCAACTCTTCATATTCTTATCAAAAAATTAAATAAAGGGAAGGAGCTTTGTTCCCTGGAACCTTATGTATGTACAAAGACAACATTATTAACAAACACTGCTTTTCAAATCACTGTGCACAGGCATGGAGTGGTGGGGGGGAATGAGGAGAACAGCAGCATCCCCCTTACCTGTCCCATCCACAGCCACCCCATCCCCACAGAAAACCAGGAAGGCACCCAAAGAAATCCCCCAGTAGCAAACACACCTTTTGGCTAAAATAATACAGTGTGGGTAGGGTCATTTCCACCCAACACCCCCCAACCCCATCTTTTTAGTTTAAAATAAATATTCCCTGTAGTGAAATAAAAAATTTGAATAATCCTCATTTTGTTCCTCCATGCCCTGCAGCAGCTTGAAGAACACCTGAGCGATGAGTTTTTAAGGCCTCTGCTTTATACCCTGCTGCACCTCCCGGGTGACGGGCTGTCCATTAGTCCTGGGATGCCCACATCCCTCCTGGCATGCCCATAACCCTTTGGGATGAAAGGATCCCTCCTTCCAAGGTCTGGCAGCATCATTGCCCTCTCTGCTCCTTTAGTCTCCACCAAGGTGGCCCCTAAACGTGCATCTCCCACGTTCTCCTTTGGGTCAGGATCTGGGATGTGAAGTGATTTGGTTTTCTTTTCTTTAAGAGTCTTTAAATCTTTCTTGCAGCCTTTTAGTTTAAATAAAAAGACACATATAAATTACTGTATTTAAAGAAAAAAACCAACCCAAAACACATGACCTGAAGGCAGCAACTCCTTATAAAGGTTAATCCAGAACATTTGTAAAATGTCTTCATTTAAGACAAAACCAACTTAGTCCTGAGACTATGGAAGTCACGACTCCCTTGCCCTTGCTGTTGTGCCAGGTCTTTATGGCACTTTAAAGGTAAAAATCCCAGAGGAAGGGGATGTTTATTGGGATAAAGCAGGATAAAGCAGGAGGGGGAATTCAGAGGAGGAGGTGGGATGTCATCCCTGCAGTCCCTTTTTCCAAGGCTGGGAAGGGTGCTGTGGCCATTTCCATGCTCCTCTTGCTCCAGCTCCACTGGAACTCCAGCCATTCTCTCTCAGCTCACCAGGGCAATCACGGATGGAGGCGGGAGATACACTGAAAGATGATCCATTCAAAGAAAAGCAGTTCCAGCTGCTGTGAAGGGCTCGAGCCCATGCCCGTGGGCCCAGATAACCCAGCAGCAGCATCCCAGTGAGTGTCCCTGGAGCACCCCTGAGCTGTTCTCCACCCTGAACAGCATCCCAAGAGGGTCCCTGCCAAGGTATCAGCATCCTGGAGGATCCTGATGGTGGTGGGAACTGAGCACCTGCCTGCAGGGCTGCTGGTGGTGTCGGCATCCACGGCTCTGAGGACTCGGGACCTTCCCTTTCCCGTCATCATTTGGCTGTTGCCCTTGGCACATTCCTCAGCGCCTCCTTTCCCCTGATCTGTCCGTGGCTGTCGCTTTGCCATCAGCTTTCAGTGCCTCCATGTCAGGGCTACCTGGGAGAGGAAGGAGTGGTTAGGGAGAGCAAGCTCCACATCCCAAATATTCCCACCTCCAGCCTGGCCCAGGGAGTGGAGCCTCCCCAGTCATCCCCAGCTGTTCATCATCACATGAAATCCACACACATACAACTCCACAAAATGACAAACGAATGTCATAAATTCCTATAAACCCACGAGGAAGAGGAGTTACTTACTTGGAGGGCTGCTGGCCAGTCTCTGAGCTTGAACCTGGAAGAAATAAAGTTGCTGTTAATGGCCTTGAGCACCAACAAAATGTTATCTGGACACAACAGTGAAGTCACGAGCTGGATGGGAGAGGCATGGGTGACAGGTCTGACACTGTGCCCTTGGATGGGCAGATGTGGCCCAGAACTGACTGAAACCTCCTTGACACCCCCAGGATGAGTTTTCTCCCTTCCAGCTCAAACTTTCCCCCCTCCACAACACACAGAGGAAAAGCTGGACAGAACCCTCGGTAGGACAGGGATGCTGAGGCATCTCTGGATGCTCCCCAAGAGCAGCAGCGCCTGGAGGGCAGGTGCAGCTGGAACAGCCCTGGGAGAGCTCCAGGCACCCATCCCCAGGAGACTCCAGGCCACCTACCGAGCTGCTGCTGGATGGAGTTGTGCCAGTGGAGGTTGAGCAGGTCAGGGTAGATTTCTGGAAGCCACTTGATCGCCAGGAGCTTCAGCATGCGGGAGGTGCAGCTCTTCAGCTCCAGGTCCCTCAGGTGCTTCTCCTCTGAGAGCGTGG